CCATTTCCCCCGAAGCCAGAGTGCCCACCTCCAAAAATCTTCTCCTCGGTGGTCTTCATCTTCCTCGCCCCCGGGTTTTCCGGGTGGCCAAGGTTTTTTCCGAAATCTAATAGATTTAGTTTACACGATGCCCCTCTTTCTCCCTCCCTTCTTCTCCCTTCAGGACCTAAGATGAAGCCCCAAAATCTTTCTCTCAAACGGTTTTCCAGCTAAAGTGCCCGTCCGAATGCGAAGTATGAGGTAATGGTTTGTGCGGTGCCCACTCTTTTTTCTTCCCTCTCTCGCATCGTAATCCCATGCGAAAGCCCCAAAATTTTCACCCACAAACGGTTTTCTGGCCAGGATGCTCAAGGTTCCCTCCAACATATTCAAAAATATGAGCTTATGGTTTAGACGGTGCCCACTCTTTCTCCCTTCCTCCCTCCGCTTCGTAATTCCAGTAAAAGCCCCAAAATTTTCACCCGCAAACACTTTTTTGGCCAGAGTGCCCAAGGTTCCCTCCAGAACTTGAAGTATGAGCTTTTGGTTCGCACAGTGTCCACTCTTTCTCTTTCTTTCTTTCTCTCTCTTCTTCAAAATCCATAAAGAGGCCCCAAAACCCTCTCTTAAACGGCATTCTGGTCACGCTTCCCACTCTTTCTCTCTTCCCTCCCTTTCTCCTTCAGGATGATCCATATTGAAGCCCCAAAACTCCCTTTTCTAAACGTTTTTTTGGCCAGGGTGCCCATTTTTCCCCCTTCACCTGCAGTATGAGCTGTTTGTCTACACAGTGCCCACTCTTTCCCCTTTCCTTCTCCCATTCGTTATCTCATGTAAAAGCCCCGAAATGTTCACTTGCAAACGGTTTTCTGGCCAGAGTGCCCAAGATTCCCCTCCAAAACTTGGAGTATGAGCTTTTGGTTTGCACGGTGCCTATTCTTTCTCTCTCCCTCTCTCTCTCCTTCAGGATTCATACTGAAGCCCTAAAACTCCCTCTCCTAAACGGTTTTTTGGCGGGTGCCCATTATCCCCCTTCACTTGAAGTATGAGCTGTTGGTCTGCACAGTGCTCATTCTTTCTCCCTCCCTCAACGCATTCGTCATCCATTTGGAAGTCCCAATCTTTTCTCCCAAACTGTTTTCCGGCCAGAGTGCCCACGTTTCCCCTCCAAAACTGTAGTATGAGCTGTTGGTCTGCACAGTGCCCACTCTTTCCCTCTTTTTCTCTCCCATTCGTGACCCCTGTGAAAGCCCCAAAATTTTCACTTGCAAACGGTTTTCTGGCCAGAGTGCCCAAGGTTCCCCTATAAAACTTGAAGTAGAGCTTTTGGTTTGCAGTGCCCACTCTTTCTCTCCTTGAGGATCCATACTGAATCCCTAATACTTTCTCTTTAAACGGTTTCCTGGTCACGTTGCCCACGGACCCCCCACTCTCTCCCGAAACTTTCCAAAGTATGAGCTTTCGGTTTGCACGGTGCCCACTCTTTCTCCCTCTCTCCCCCATTGATGATCCCATGTTGAAATTCTAAGTTTTCTCTCCGAAGGTTTTCCTGACGGATGCTCAAGATTCCCTTCTCCGAAATCCGCGTAAGAGCTCATTCAACGATGCACATTCCTTCTCCCGGATATAGGATTATACGTTGCCGAAACAGGATGATTTACGCGGAAATTTGCAATAATTACGCACCTCTCGCGTTTACTCAGACAATCGCCGGGGGCAGGCGGGCACCGGAAAAATAGATTGCTGATCTCTCTCACCCCGCTCGCGGATTTTTTGGAAAGCAATCAGGATTTTTCGGAAGACCGCCTGCTGATTTCTCGATTCCTCAAAGATTCAGCAATATATCTGCAAAAGATAAGCGCGAAAAAAAATTCAACAGGCGGTCTCTCAAAAATCCGCTGACTCAGCAAGCGGTCTTCCGAAAAGTCCTGATCGCTTTGCAAAAAATCCGCGAGCGGGGTGCGAGAAATCAGCAATCTATTTTTCCGGTGCCCGCCTGCCCCCAGCGATTGTCTGAGTTAGGACCGTTCGCCGCAGATGTCCAGAGGAACCTCCTTTTTTCGACGCCTAGTCCTCTAACTTCTCCTCTTGCCCAGAGCTGATGGCCCATGTGCCCACTCCCCTACTCTTCATCCCCCATTTTTGCATTTCAAAGCCTTGGAATACTCTACCTTGAAGTTTTCTCGTGAGGGTGCTGACTTCCACCTTATTGTCTCACCCAAGCTCTAACGGCGCCCACTCCTTAGGCACAGACCGCACCGATACCTGCCTGTATCCGAACGCGTCGATAACCGTCCAAACACACAACCCGTCCGGAGTCTGCCAAATTAGGCAAGAAGATATGCCTTGAAACTGCCATTGTAAAGCAGCACGCATATGATACTGCGCGCGTCGTGAAATATGCGTATTGGTCACAAGTATCTAACTCAGCTTCATATCACCTTTGCTTCCCTCATTTGCCAAGTCTCAGTGGGTTTAGGCGGGATCAGGCGGGTTTGGATGGGTGCCGGCGAGTCAAGGCGCAGGTGAACGAGAACGATGCCTTAGCCAGAAGCAAAATCTAAATGCCGTAGTGTATGACTGTTCTGTCTTTCTCTGAGCTGACGACTGCACTCTAACACTTCAGCATTCTTTGCACGTGACAGCTCGAGAATCTCTTTTCTCTCCAAATTGAGGTGTCCACAGCTTTCTATGGAAGTTTCGCACCAAGTTCTTGCATTACCATTTGAGAAATCATCAAGAAAGGAAGCTCGGGTGCGGAACTATATTCAGTACCACACCTTTCCTTCTCTGTTGTTTTTTGAGATTATATTATGCACGACCAGGCGCTTGCATGCAAATTTTGTCCAAATAAAGGAACTCTTGCAGAAAGACCCTTCTTTTTTGAGCGGTGAACAAAATAAGTATCATTTTCTTCCAACTCTAGCATGGACGCGAAGAGGTGGAGCTTACACGCATAAGAGGTGGAGCTTACACGCACGCGCTTTCTATTAGCAAATGAATTCACAAAGCAACGCTCTAAACTGGAGACATGACACGCTCTGGGTTGTATGAAATATTACTCCCAGCTTATAGCTGAAGAGGACTATACAGCAGGTTCTAGCCTTTCATATTACACTTCGGAAACTACATGAAAAGCGTTGAAGCGAAAAAGTAGAGTTCGTACAAAACGAATATTCTGTGGATTTCAAATCTCGAAAGCATGTGACTGATGTTCTTTAGAGATAGAGAAACCCCGATACACGTAAAATTCCACCGAACGAATGTAAAAATACGTAAAAAGAGTAACATGTGTGCGAACAACTAAAAAAGAAACGAAAGTTTTCTGAAGAAGAAGTGCGCAGAATGGAAGATTTTGATTCACGCCTGATGATACATTCATTTTGAGACCGGCCATACTATTTCTGTGATTCCTGCAATTCCTGCGATTTGTGGTTTGATTCCTGCGGATCCCGTAGCAGTGCATATAGCAAAAAAGTGTATACTGAGATTTGCAAAGCACTCAGTAGTGCGGCCATCGGAAGTCGGGGAATCACAAGAGTTGCAGGAATTGCAGGAACCGCAGGAAGCACTCTTGGAATAGTATGGCCGATCCCAGGATCAAGCGCGATACATGTAACATTTTACCAAACAAATCTAAAATACCCAAATAGAGTAACATGTGTGCCATCGATGGCACCTCTGCCATGAGTCTTACCTTTGCTCGGCGTACGCCCGAAACTGTGTAACAATAGTCCGAGCGCTCGCTGAAAGAAATTATTTGACGAGCGCCCGCAAAAAAACTTTGTATTGCTGCCCGCAGACAGAACATGCGACAGTAAAAAAAAGTACCGCTCATTTAAGGTTTGGCCATGCCCCAAAATTTTGCTGACCGCTTGCAGAAAAGCGCGAGTTTGCGGTCCGCCTGCTCCCGGTGTTTATCTGACAAGGGAAGCGCGTTTAGTCGAAGTGGTCTTTTCATATGAGACCCATACTGTTTTGGAGACTACTGCACGCTGATTCCAAATCTGCCTTCCAAATCTGCCATGCGCCTCTGGACGGAGTTATGATCGTTTTTTGGAACAAAAAATGAATGCAGAATTAAGGGTAAAATCGATTATTACAATCTTTCTATCGCTCAGATAAAGCAATGTTAAGTAATAGCGGATTAGACAAAATGTATCCATTGCATAAACGGCTCTGATACTTGACATTGGACTATTTGAGCAAATTTGGGCGAGTTTGCTTCAGTTTTGCGTTATTTTTTGTCCCGAAAAACGCCCATAACTCGGCGTCCAGAGGCGCTTGGCAGGTTTGGAAGGCAGATTTGGAGTCACCGCTTTATGCTCTTCAAAGCAATATGGGTCTTATCTGGAAAGGTCACTTCGACTAACCACGCTTCCCTTGTGAGTAGAGGTTTAATCATAAAAACATACGTTTTTGGTACGCACTGGTTGTAAAAGCTTCTTGAGTTACCGGGAAAGACTAACATTTTCTTTGATTTGCATTGTGCTCAGCGTATAGCAGATATGTCAATTTTCGTCACTGTAACTTTACAAAGAAACTTAGTGCGAAATTTTGCAAATTTGAGTGAAAAAAGGCTCATAATTGTTAGGTGTTCGTGCAATTATAAGCCGCTCATAATTTGCTTTTTTCGAAAAATGCATTCCTAAATCAGTACCGAACGTTCTTGGACTGTGTGTACCGTTTTCGGCTACGCTCTTTTAAGTAGCATCAACGGTCTTTTGAGGTTGCTCTAAAAAAATCCCGAAACTCCCAAAATAAGAGGTGTTCCGTTTAGGAACTGCACTTTATGTGGTCAAGGTTGGTTATGTGGTGCACCACGGCTTCAAAGTATTGGGGTCAAAGTTCGTATCGAGATCAATTTACAAACATGTCACATGCCCTTTTGTAGCAAACTTCTGGAAAATTTTAGCCTCACATTTTAACCCAACTTTTTTTTCAGAACTTGCCGTGCCACCTTGTGGAACCCTGAATCACTCTTGCGGCCACACAAACACATTGATATAGGATTCTTTCAGAGATCTCACAACCGAAGTCATTGAGCAACAGTACCAACTTCCGGACTGTTATTACGACCTGACTGATGGAACAGATGATTCGAGTTTGAAATATGCTCAGGTTGCTTATTGTACATATCCAAATCACACCTAAGTGCACAACGTTGATCGTATGCTCAGCCATAACTTACAGTATGCGAGTTTATGAAAAGGGAAGAATATCAAGCACCGCCCTATCACTCCAGCTCCCGCTGATAGCTATAGCGTGGACCCCTGCCGGCTTCCCACAGTTGCCTCAGCAACGCACACGCACGTGGCGCACGGCTTGATGCTTCTCATCTCTAATTGGAGCAGTAAAGCATTTCTACGCTCACTTATGAATGAAATGAGAAGTGGAAAACTTCATTCACTCCTGAATAGAGGATCCTTCATGAACACATATGCAACTTTCGCGAAAACCCAAATTTCATTCATCCGAATGGTTACAGATTTTAGATTTTCAGTGATGGATGAATGCAATAAATAGAAGCAAAAGAGGAACGCGCATCATTCTCAAAGCGTTCCTCTTCTGTAGACATAGACAGTTCAAAGATCAGAGCTCGAAAATACATGCACTTCTGTACAATTAAAATTTAAAGGCTCCATAACGACTTCAAGCGTCTATACTCTAAAAAATGGGTTCGAGAGACATGCCGTTGTAAAAAAACTTTTGGAGAAAAGCCTTTCAGTCACAAAATAGAAAGTATAGAGCAACAAGATTGAAAAAAAAGAGAGAAAACAGAGAGTCCTTTAGTAGAAGCTACAAGAGGCGCATTGAAGACATGCGCTGCGTGCGCGGCGCGGAGGTACTATGGGAAGCTGGCCGGGGTTCACACTATAAATCATGTGCTTGTGTACTGCACAGCAAAAGTAAGCGCCATGCTTAGCCTGTGAGACTGTTCGAAAATTTAGACGGGCGTATATAAGAGAGTGCCGTTTCTGTACATATATATACAACAATGAACAACAATGAACAACAATGAATGTGTGTAAAAATCATACACAAAGAACTATTAAATTTCGACCTAGCGAAAAGAAAGAAAAAGTCTACTCGCCAACCATGGCAGTCATCGCTTTCATTTCTTTCTTAGGCTCCGGGCAGACTTCACGCGATTTAATCGTCGCGACTGAATCGCGATGAGACAACTGTTACAACATCATTCCATGCCGATCAACTTGCATTCGGTTGTGATACTTTTCCAGCCCGAAATTTTTGAATGTGAAATGAAAATGAATGAAAATGTTGGCGATTAGATCGCGACGATTAAGTCGCGTGAAGTCTGACCGGGGCCTTACGCGATACCAGAGCCGGTGCTTATAATTTCCCCCTCGCTTTCGGGCGCCGTTTCACCGTTACCGACGAGTTTTTTATCAGCAAGATATGGGTTATTCTAGATTACTAAATCATTCGAAGATATTTATTCGATGCTCGCTGGCAAACCCGGCTCCGCCAGGCCCTCTCAATAACGTAATCGTAATCAGCATGCTCACTCACCCTTTTTCCTGCGCCAACTCCCACTCCTAGCTCAAACTTTACAAAAAATCGATGAAGCCGATACCGTTGGATAACGAAAAATAGCCTACGACACCCGCCCCGCCCTGATGTATATGTGTACAAAGTTCGGCCCGAATGGGTTCAGAAATAAAAGTTTCTGTCCCGAACATACATACACTGACAGGCAGACAGACATACATACAAACAGACATTCAGCTTTATATACATAAAATTCGACCCTCAATGTTCGATTATCATCGATATTCGTTTATTGAAATTTTCAAATTACGAGTTTAGTCGATATTCGTTTATTCGATATTTAACTTTGGAACATTAATTAATATTCGTTTGTTTAACTTTCGAATTTGTTCGTCATTCATTCATTCGATAAAATTTCAAATCTCTAAAAGTATACTGATTAGTCCACTATCAATTACTCAATTTGGATTTGTCATCTAATGTGCGATCCTGCAGTTTCTATTATCGTAGTGCTATGAACTGTTCTAGGAATACATCAACATTTGATAAGTGGCTAACATAATGGATTAGCCGTTTCCGGCACTCTTTGAGTAAAATGACCCTAACTCTTCGATCTAATTTTACCATTGTCAACGTAATCACTAACTGTGCATATAAGTGCGAAACCTGTGCTTGAAAAAAGAAGCAAGAAGAAAAGTGAGTTCTTATGCATTTACGAAACGCAAAGTTTACGCCCGCAGGCGTTTTGATATGCGATTGCTCGCGCTGCCAGCGCACTAGTCTCTACAGGTTTTCTAAGAGGCATGGGCCATATCATTGAAGCTTCATGTATCTCTGGAGTTAGCGCTCTGCCTATATGGGCTGTAACCTGTACAGGAGCCCCTTCTTTACAGGAGATTGATACTTATCACCCCACATATCAAACGGTCAATCATTTAGTGCGCCGCATTTTCTCAACCGGTTTGAGTCGGTTTACATCCAAAGCGAGGCCCCTCCTCAATACCTAAGTTGAAATTTTTTTAAAGAAATGCAGACTTTGCAGCTATTTAGTTCATGCAAGATGTCAAATCATCAGCGAGGATTAGAAATGAATGAAATATATTTTGATTGAGGACATAATGCGTCGTTTAGGTTGGACAGCGAGTGACCCATAAGTGGACCTGCAACGAAGGTAAATTCTTATTGCAAAATCTCGTTGTCAAAATTTCGAAGAGTATGAATTCAATTCTGTGAGCATAGACATTTTTCGTATTAAAATGACGGTGTCTCTGAGCTATATGCATAGACGAAGCAATCATTCGAAGCGATACAAATTCTGGAGTTGTCGTTTTTTTCTGATCTTAAGATCTTTTTTTTGCAATTTTTTCAAACGCTTGCTATTTTCCAAAATAGCAACTTTGTATGTGATTACAAAAACCGAAAAGGAGCATAATGCTTACTTCCAATACAACTTTTTGACAGAGTCGAGTGCGATATACGGATTTCTGATCCACAGCTGTTATACAGATGATGGTCAGGAGAACAAATTTGAGCTGGTAGATGATAGAGGGTGAGTGCATTTGTTGTCAGATAGACTAAATTACTGTGCCTCAGCAAAGAAGCCCATTTGAAATCTTCTTGTGGTACAATTTATGCTACTTTCCGATCCATATATTGGCTGCTATCAAAACTTTGCGCATCACACGGATCGATGGAATATTTTGTAGCCAATAACATGAATAAGAAGTTAATGCACATTTGGAAAAAGAACCACCATTCACTGATTTTTTGATTATAGACAAATTCATCTACCCTTTCCTTCCATATGCCTTCAAAAGTGTGCAATTTCAAGCAATTTTGTAGTACGAGTTCTGTAAGTTGCTTACGAGCAACCTATGACTTCTTCTTCAACTCTTCTCGTACACACTACCTCCATAAGCTGAAGTTTAATCGTATGCTCAACTCACTTCAGCGCGATTTAGTGAGGCAGCTGACGTTCTTCCGTCAGCTGAACTTGAAACTCTTCACGTGAAGCATCGGCGGACTCAAACTAAGTCTATTTTTTTCACGAAAGCAACTCACATCAGCAGCTCATATCATCTGAATTGACAAATCTTGCTGTGGACCTAGATCTCAATGTGTGGCAGATGGTAATTCAGCCAGGAGGTAATGAAAATGATCGAAGATTCAAAAGTGTACGCGTCATCTGATTCAAAACAAACAAACTCAAAAGATAACATAGAATTTGTACTTTTTTAAACATGGATAACAATCACAAACATTTTTAAAGCTCATGAAATATGTGGGGAACACAGAGTGAAAGAAACAACCTTCACCTACGCTATTTCCCCTAATTTACTTTATTTGGTATATTTAACGCTTAGCAAATCTGGCAGGTGCTCTACGGACACGTATCTTTTACCACACATTCACTATGATGAAAATAAGCTGTCTGCATCTACTACTGCCGACGTCTTCAAATATGCAGACAAGGTACATTTCTAAAATACTCGTGCTTTAGGTACAGAAGAGAATTTCAGGGCCAACTCTATTTTACCTGCACTGTTCAGTTGTGCTACAAACACGACGGAGGCTGTGATGGCATGACGGTTAGAATTTCCTGTAGTTTTTCCCTAACTGGTTATGTGGCACTTTATTTCGGAATAGGTGCTCAATCTATCTTACCACCTTTGTTATGTCGCGCTCTCGTTACTAACTCACTTACGCTACTCAATTTTCAGCCTCCATCATGCTCCTCTGAATCTCGCAGCTCAAGCAAACCAACTTACAGCCCTACAGGTACTTATCTGAGAGTTATTAGATCCAAAAGTTCTATCCGTATCTAAAGAAGTTTCTTCAGGATTTTTTTTGAGCATAGAAATTGTCACAGCCTATAGATCCTTGACCGTACCACATGTGCTCAGATATTTCTGTAGCATGAAAGAGAAGCACTTTCTAGCTCAAAAATTCCGAAATTTTTTGCCAACTCCCACTTTGCGAAGCGTAATTTACTCTGGAATGTAATGAGATAGTACAGACTTTACTCTTATGTAGCTGGTGACTGGCTGAGGAGTATTATTAGCCTCGAAATTCACGGAAATTTTCTCTAAAAATTTTTGCAGAAATTTATTATAGTTTGCTCTTCTTTGAAATGGTGAAAAAAAGCATTTGGAGTTTTTTAAAGCAAATAACACTTTTGTTCTTCTAATTTCCCACGCCCACTCTGATTACGGAAGTTCCGTGTTTGTCCTGTCCCAAAGATATCATAACCATATTGAAACCGCGGCATGAGGTCATATTTTAATGGTATCAGTGGAGGGCCAGCTCAGGGATTCACGCCGTGCGAGCAGACCTCCTATAAGGCTAGCGTACAAGTGGTCGACATAATCCTAAAGCTCTCATGCGTGCGGCAAACAGCTGAAACGCCGTCCAAGCGGGAGGCAATGTTACCGTCCAAACGACCGGATAAACATCTGCTCGAGCAAATTCCATACAAATTACCCCGACAGCAAGCGAGCGGCGGACGTTTCCCGCGCAAGCGGCGAGCATTAGAAACCGTGCGAGCGTCCCACGTTAACGTACCAACGGACCTTTTCAGACAATCGCCGGGGGCAGGCGGTCCGCAAACTCGCGCTTTCTTGCAGGCGGTCAGCAGAATTTTGGGGGGTGGCCAAACCTTCAACGAGCGGTACTTCCTTTACTGTAGCATGTTTTGCCGGCGGGCAGCAATACAGAGTTTTCTGCAAGCGCTCTCAAATATCTTTCAGCGAGCGCTGTCCAGACTTTCAGCAAGCGCTCGGACTCCTTTTACGCAGTTTCGGGCATACGCCGAGCAAAGGTGAGACTCTACTCAGATAACCGCCGGGGGCAGGCGGCCATGCGAATTTTGAGCAAGCGCGCACCGAAAAAATAGTTCGTTGATTTTTTGCCGCCCGCTTGCAGAAATTTTGAAGAAAGTTGGCGAAATCAAAGATGAATGCTTGAAGAACAACCGCGGTTTCTTTATGGATTAGCTGCGGCGCAGTGGCCGCATTCTCGCGGACTTTCCGCGAGAATATGCAAAAATTTCGGGGGCCGCACAGTCCTTTGTGGAGGACCGCGCAACCCCCAGGTACTTTCCGCTGGGAGAAAGTACCTCAAACTTGAGTAATTAAACCAACGGTGACACCTCTGCTATGTAGAGTCTCACCTTTGCTCGGCGTACGCCCGAAACCGCTTATAAACCGTCCGAGCGCCAGCTGAAAGTTTGGCCAGCGCTCGCTGAAAGAGATTGTTTGACGAGCGCTTGCAGAAAATTTTGTATTGATGCCCGCTTGCAGAAAACGCAAATACCGCCCGCTGAAGATTTGGCCACGCCCCGAAATCCTGCTGACCGCCTGCAGAAAAGCGCGAGTTTGCGGACCGCCTGCCCCCGGCGATTATCTGAGTGCCACACAGAGTCTTACCTGCGCTCGACGTACGCCCGAAAATGCCTAAAAAGAGTCCGAGCGCTTGCTGAAAGTTTGGCCAGCGCTCGCTGAAAGAAATTATTTGCCAAGCGCTTGCAAAAAATGCTGTATTGCTGCCCGCTGGCAGAATATGCGACCGTAAAGGAAGTGCCGCCCGCTGAAGGTTTGGCCACGCCCCAAAATTCTGCTGACCGCCTGCAGAAAAGCGCGAGTTTGCGAACCGCCTGCCCCCGGCGATTATCTGAGTATATGGCAGAGGTGTCACCGATGGTTTAATTACCCGAGTCTGGGGTACTTTCTCATAGCGGAAGTACCTAGGGGCTGTGCGGTCCTTCACAAAGGACCGTTCGGCCCTCGATAACTTTGCATATTCTCGCGGAAAGTCCGCAAATAATCTAAGAAAAAAAGCGCGATTGTGCTCAAAGTTTTCGTTCAGATTGCCAACATACTTCCAAATATCTGCAAGCGGAACGCAAGAAATCAGCGATTTTCCGATGCCCGCTTGCCCATAGATCGCATGGCCGCCTGCCTCCGGCGATTATCTGATAAGGTCGTCGCTGTCCGCCCGCACGGCCGAGTCTCTGACAAGGGGAGGATACTTGGTCGAAATGGTGTTTCCATATGAAACGTATACCTTTTTATAGAGCTTGAAATGCTAATTTCAAATCTGTTTTTGGTATCTGCAAAGCACTTTTGGGAGGGAAGTTATGGGAATTTTTTCAATCAAAAATTTAAACGCGTCGCTATAACAAAATTGTTCAGAACTGTAGTCTCTGACCTCAAATGGGGCTGCCATTACTGCCAGGGCTTTATGCAGTTGTTAAGTTCAGTCCAATAACCTCATGCTATCCAGTGCTCCTTTCAAGCGCAGGAAAGACCTCAATACCTTGTTTTACCTTAGCCGCACCCTTAAAGTTTTACTTCAAAAATTAACTGTTCTCAGAAGCGCTTTGCAGATAGCGAAGGCAGATTTGGAATCAGCGCTTCATGCTCTGTAAGAACGTGTACATTTCATATGGAAATGCCACTTCGACCAAGTATTTTTCCCTTCTGAGAGAGAAGTCTCCTCCCCCCCCCTCGAGAATATGTCCCGAAATTTTTTGAAAGTTACTTACATGAGTTTTGAAAATGTGCAAATGACTTATCTGTACTTCTAAATATGAAATGCTTTTTAAAACTTTCGAAAATTCGATTTAGCCTTGTAAAAGAATTTTTTCGGGGGTGCTGCCGCCGCGCTCCCTCTTTCTAGGATTTCGGAGTCATGGGCCCGCGAAAAATTTTGGAAAAAATGGGACCGCTACTGACTAGTACCAAACAATTTAAAAACTAATTTGGAAATTAATTTGGAAAAGGAACCCTTCAGGAAAAATTACATATGTCCTTAAAGGCTTTCACCGCATGCCTACGAGTGTTAAGAAAATGGAGCGAAATGTTTCGGAGTCGCTTTGTTTTCACTTTAAAGCACGCAATTACAAGATGAAAATGTCGCACAAAATAGAAAGATGTTTCGGAAAAAAATTAGAGGAAAGGTTTCCTTGTGTGTAGATTCTCTTTCGGAACAAGCAACTCAAAAAAAGAGGCGTAAAATGGGTATAATTATTGAAAGCAGCCGATACATACTTTCACCTCTTCACTCATGTCTGCAGAAGATTACGATAACGACGAGGAGGAGGACTCTCATGAAACAACAGATGCGGAACCATCCTCCTACAGTCACAGCGAGTATCGCGGGTAAGTCGGCATCGTGTACATCATTGAGGCTTTGATGAGGTTTTTAAGGACGAGGTTCAAGGACAGTCCAATGAATGGAACGTACACAGATGTGATTAGCCTAAATCGTACAGGTGAATTTTTATTGGAAAACATCAAAGCGTAAAAAAGCAGCTAGGGGACTATCTATCGCCTATAGGCTTCGCCCCGCGCGGGCAGCTGGTACAAATCTGTATGCGTGTAATGAGTGGCTGCATACTTTGTCGCATATGTCGGCTTGGGACCACCTCCTTTCGGCGACATGTAGTCCTCCACCCAATGAAAGCTAACGAGAAAGCGTAAATCGCCCAAATTGATATGCTGCCAGCGCAGCCATAGTCTATGTATTAGGTTGGTCCGAAAGTTCTGTACCATCATTTTCAAAAAATCGTAACTTCTTCCTAACACAATGTTTTTGCAAGAGTAAAACCATATTAGAAAGAGCAATTCATTTATTTTCTGAAACTGGGGTTAACTGCTATTCATTAAGCTCTGAATGCAGAGATAAAATTAGAAAAAGAAGTTCATTTCAATTTCGGAATTTTTAAGCAAACCCGTTAAAAAATCCAAAAGTGTGCCATAAAATCCAAAACAGGCAATATCCTAGGTTTTTTTTTCTTCTCTTTCCAGATGAGCAAAATTTGCGCTGATCGAGCTCTTCTGAAAGAAGTTATGATTTTCAAGAAAAAATGCCGAAAAATCAGTTTCTTAAGAAAATTGATTTTTTGACATTTTTTTCAAAAAATCATAACTTTCCGAAGGAAAGCTCGATCAACGCGAACTTTGCTCAGCTGGAAAGAGGGGATGAAATAGTCTAGGATACTGGCTGTTTTGGATTTTATAGCACACTTTTGGGTTTTTTAACGGGTTTGCTTGAAAATTCCGAAATTGAAATGAATTCCTTTCTCTAATTTTATCTCTGCATTCAGAGCTTAATGAATAGCAGCCGACCCAGTTTTAGAAAGCACATGAATTGCTCTTTCTGATTTGGTTTCACTCTTGCAAAAACATTGTGTTAGGAAGAAGTTACGGTTTTTTGAAAATGATGGGACAGAACTTTCGGACCAACCTAATACATGAGGACTGGATAAATGCCTGCTCCAATTCTCAAGTTCAATCTATGACTTTTTTACCTCTAATATTCTAAGAATCTGTAAAGCACATTGTAGACCAAGGCTATTAGATCCAAAAACGATATAAATCGAAATTGCGAGTCACGATTTTTAGCTGGCAATCTCGCAGGCGCATTCTCGAGGGGTAAACGCTCTACTCTAATGACCCAGTTAGCGAACAGCAAAAGCATCATTCTCTCAGCATGAGCATAACTCGTTTTGAAGCAAACCGAAACATTTTGAACAGCCATTAATGCAACTTATTCGAGCTATTCTAGGTGCTGTGCGAAGAAAAGGCGCAAAGAAGAGGAGGGATTCAGGCATGGAATCCGATCTCAGCGTAGGTGTGATCGTCCTGCCTATTGGTGAAACAAGTCAGTTTTCCGCAAATTAATTCCACTTCATGATACCAACAATATTTTTAAAGATCATGAGAAAGTATGAATTTAGGTAGCGGTACGAATTTTGTAACCCGTGTTGCAAACGTTTGTGTCACAAGATTTGCTGCATATCTATCGTTAGTGGCTGCTGTTATAACAATAGCGCTTTGCAGCATCGGAGCATATCTATTAGCAAAACGATCGAACCCTTACGATTCAAACATGGACGCCTTTTAATGTAGATCAGGCTTGTGTATATTGTTACGTAATGACTGCACTGTAAAACGGGCTTTGTGCACTTCCAAAATTATTATGATGTTCATATGAAAATGCTAATAAATCATTTGACCTGCATTTTGCCACCAACACGGTATGTTACAAGCATTTGGCAAACTCGCATAGTGCTCGCTAAATGCTTGATTCCTTCCATCAAATCCATTCAGCTAACCAAGTTGTGTTCCATGGAGCGAGAAAGATTAAACTCAAAAAAGGCTAAATTGAAACTGTAAAATGGATGTCTCTCCTAGCCCATAAGTCTGTTGCCATACAGTGCTGGCCAAAACTATAGATCCACTATAAAAAACTGCCGTAGTTCATCTGCTTTTCAACGAATTGATCTGAAATTTGGTACAGCTGTGTGTTCAACAGGCTTCCATCAGTGGCCGGAGCGGATCCCGCTTTCGTTAGATTATTCAGGAGAAAAATCAAAAATTTCGAAAAAAGCAGGCTCGAAGGTTGGCCAAAACTATAGATCCACCTAAAATTTTTGTCCGCTAAAGTAATTCTCGACTTCCAAAGTCTTTTGTGCATATACGTGGTCGAAAGTAAAAGCAGTGGCTTTAGTCCAGCTGCGACATACTTTAATAAGAAACGCTTATCTGCTCTTTTTACTTAAAAAAATACTTTCACGCGTTTTTGTTCCCGAGAATGTGTTCTTATGGCTAATTTCGCAGTTTCTTGACTGGTTTGGAACCGATAGGTCTCCATCTATCTTATAGATGCTCAGCAGTGTGAGCAGTAAAAAAAAATTCGAGTTTTCGTATTCAGAGCGCACCCGACATAGACTTAGCCGCGGGCCTTCGCTCGAATTTTTCCCTTCAAACTCTTTCTGGATTGTTGTCATGAGCGTGAACTGGAGTAATGACATTGTTGGTATGTATTAGAGTGCGTATGCAGTGGTTGCAGGTCTATGCAGATCCCATTATGCTTGCTAACTGAGGACTTCATCCTGCAAAAAAGTGATTTGCAACAAGCCACAAAGTTATTTCTGGTTCTGATCATAATGCTTATGTGAGTCACAAGACAACATACAGTAGAGGGTGTATTCACTAATTAGCAGCTAAACAATGGCAAAACTCAAGGAAGGTACCATTTAGTAAGTACTTTGAAATTGCCGAACACACCGCAAGACTTATGCTTTGAAAAGGTGTTGAAATGCGACTTCGCGAACAATCGTGACTATGACTTGCAAACTTCTTTTGTGTAAATAATGCTAAATAATGTTTCTACATCATTTTGAGCTTGCAAAAATAGCGTACACCAATTTTGAAGGCAAAAATTCGAGCGCAGGCCCGCGGCTAAGTCTATGTCGGGTGCGCTTTGAATACGAAAACTCGAATTTTTTTTTACTGCTCACACTGCTGAGCATCTATAAGATGGATGGAGACCTATCGGTTCCAAACCAGTCAAGAAACTGCGAAATTAGCCATAAGAACACATTCTCGGGAACAAAAACGCGTGAAAGTATTTTTTAAGTAAAAAGAGCAGATAAGCGTTTCTTATTAAAGTATGTCGCAGCTGGACTAAAGCCACTGCTTTGACTTTCGACTATGTATATGCACAAAAGACTTTGGAAGTCGAGAATTACTTTAGCGGACAAAAATTTTAGGTGGATCTATAGTTTTGGCCAACCTTCGAGCCTGCTTTTTTCGAAATTTTTGATTTTTCTCCTGAATAATCTAACGAAAGCGGGATCCGCTCCGGCCACTGATGGAAGCCTGTTGAACACACAGCTGTACCAAATTTCAGATCAATTCGTTGAAAAGCAGATGAACTACGGCAGTTTTTTATAGTGGATCTATAGTTTTGGCCAGCACTGTAGTAAGTCTCAGCATTTCCGTGCTCGCTGCCGCGTGCGGCCCGGCATTGTCGCGTAGTGAGATTATTACCTCTTTTCCTGCAACTGTGAATGCAGTTTTCATAGAACGCTATGGCCAAAAGTTTGAGCTGCTCTGAATATAGCGTGGAAGTAACAGTGCTAGGTTCTAGCAGTTTTTGAAGTACCAAACATGCCCCACCATACGCTGGCATGCCTTGCCACCGGTTGAGGAGCAAATTTTTCAACGTCTCAGTTCGTTGCTTATCGTCAAACCATAAGGAACCATACCCCATACTGTACCTTTCCCATTTTTTCAAACTACGTATTATGTTGTTTGACCAACATCTTTTCTGCCATTTCTCGAGCAGTTTGCTTAGAGTCTTGATCCAGAAGAGCCTGTATTTCCCTTTATTCTAACAGTTCTAGTCGGCCCGGACAGAATCATCTTTCAAGTTGGAGTCGCCAATGTTTAGCTTTAAAATCATCTCTGCACTGCTCTAACACTCACAGCTTTTTCTCCATAAATCTATGTTTCGCACTGGTTCGTCCGCTCTATTCCCCGGTTGAAATCGTCACGTAGTGTTGGCAATGATGTCTTTGATCTTTCATGTTCACGATTACATTTTTCAAGATTACACAGCCATGAGAGGGATCTAAGTAGGCAAATGCGATAAATCACCTTCATATACAAAAACGCTGTCAGTCTGATATACGGTATGACCAAACAATAAAGCGAAACTACTCATTTGACTACCATAATAAGACAAAACTTTTGATTCTTACCTTTGACTTTTACCACTTTTTTCCACATACCTTTGCATGAAATTATGAAACTGTTTGATAAAAGCAGATGTCCATGATGATTGTGGAAATTATTGAATTGATTGACACTCAACAGCCTACGTCAAAGTAACGCTTGTGAAGAGGCTCTATTCAATGAAACACGTCATTTCAAAATCTTGGTACAGCAAAAAATTATGATTATACTAGTTGATTTCCCGGTCCAACCCGGGGTATGTCTACTGCCTCGGTATGTCCACTAAACGACTCATGTAGAGTCCGCATGCTGCCTGACCACCGAGTAAAAATGAGATCTGCCATCTTTGTTCACATGACTGTGGTGAAATGATTTAATAGTGACTGCCAGCTTTCATTTTTCTAGGAGTCAGTAAACAAATCAATAAAGGACTTGACGAATTTTCGTGAAAAGTAGCCTAAAACCGTCTCCAGAGTAAAAAACATCTGTGTGCAAGGTCTCAGCTCAATCGGTTTAGCCGTGGGCGTTTCTATAAAGCACATACTCTCCAAACATGCAATTTTTGAGTTTTATATATATAGAGATAAATGAGGTGCGACAGAACTTTTGTTCAACACATTTACAAGATGTCAAAAAAGTATCAAATACTCAGCAATTACTTTCTTATATTTAGAGCTTTCGCGGTTTCAAAAACCATTTTGTAGTACTAGCTTCAACTACTCAAATAAGCTTTCTACCTTTAGAAAATTACGGTAGGAACTAAAGCCTACAGCGTCATGATGTGTCTTTCGAAAAAATTCCCTCCAGAAAAACCGGAGTCGTGCACAAGAGTTTTCACGCATGCTAATTTCACCATTTAAATCTTCAAATCTGCAAATAATGTAATCACAGTCTCAAATAACATTGTTAAAACACCCACTGCGATTTACTTGGTATAAATTATGAACAAAGCGTTATGACAAGTACAAACTTCATTCGTGTCAGCGACTTTATTTTTCCTAACTCAAGAATTTTTGGTTGCTTGTTCTGACTTGTTCTGCCCCAAAATAGGACCGTCGATAGCTTGAACACTTCTAAGTTTCTAATGTAATCCTACAGTGATAAAGAAAGATCAGTGATTCGCCCCATATCATAAGTCTGAGTTGGAGCCGGCTCTACTATATCTTATCAGTAGGCCACAAAACCTTGTTATAGGGTGTCAAAAAATGTGCCTACTGTTTGATTGTAAATAATTCTTGTGATGAAGTGTTTTGAGAAGCTTTAGGTACCATCCTGTAGAGCGAGGTTAAACTTAGATTCACAGTATGGAGCGAATCATCGATCGCTCTTCATTACTATAGGATTACGGTAAGAACTTCCAGCACATGGAACCATTGTGATATACCACCTAGCAGAATTTTTTTCAAAAAATCTGAAAGATCGTGTACTAGGGTTGGCTCTGTGCGGCCAAGTTTGCCCTCTACTCGCGCGATTTCTTACCAAAATAATGGCCTTTGACGGCTTACGATTTCATCCACAAAACGTTCTGCAGATAAGGAAGACAGATTTAGAGTCAGGTTTTATGCTGCATCTAAAAATATGCAGCAGCTTGCTTGAACTGGCCGCTTAGATTTCTGGCCATTCCCTTGTCAGCCATAACAACCGATTATATACATCGTGACCCCCGAAAGGACGGAAATAAATGCACTAAAGATAAAGTGAACATCAAACTCGGGCATATAAACGAAAACGAAATGAAAATAACGTTAGGAGGAAGTAGAAACTCTAACCATGAAAATATCATCGGCGACGATGATGGACCTCTACACAGAACGGGGCAGGCCTCGTTATGCTGGCTAGGTGGTTCCAACGGTTCCAACTCCGCTTCACTTGTTACTCGAACGTTGGCGATAGTCGCCCAAAATAAGGTCCCCTCCCATTTTCTGTCTGCCTTGTAAATTTCACTGAACCACCGTAAGCCTATTTCAGGTTGTGAAACACCCAAGAGACTCGCACTCACTACCTCTGTATTCCTTGAAGGCGGCGCAAAATTGGTTCAAAACATTTGGATGTAGAATAATGGAGGTTCGAATTTGTCTTGTTTTGGGGATTTTCCTCTAAATGGAGGAAAACCACTAAGACAAATTCTGCTTTAACTATGACCTCGCACTTGCGCTTCCGAAGGCGTCTTCACATTGCACTGCAACGCCACGATTCTGAACCTTGCCATTCTGCCTTTGCATCTCATTTAGGGAAGGCGGCTCTCAGAAAGGCGAGTAGCTGCTTGCCAATCTTCCTGTTTACGATACAACTCATTTCTATCAGTCATTCCGCTTCCTTGTAGTCTCTGAAAAAAGTAATAAAGCCCAGTGGTGTGTGACAAGTCGAAAACGACTCCTTGAGCTAAGTGATTACTCTGAAATCAATCCATATGACAGATCGTTCAGATAAACTATGAGAGCGCTGCAAGAG